CTGGACAATGAATCAGTAGCACTCCCATCTGCTTGCTCTTCTATTTTCTTCTGTCAGCAAATGTGTTTGTAACAGAGTTGCATTAAAAAATGTCCTGAATTGAGAAGAGATTTGGATTCCATTCACGAAGTGGTATCTCATGATTCACTGTAAAATAACTTAGAAATTTTAAAAACTGTTTTTGCAATTCCCCCCCCCCCCCCCAAAAAAAAAAACCTTCTAAAATACCGCATGCAGCATTTAGCTCATGATGTTATATCTAATGGGATGGATGCAGAGGAGAGGGATTATAACACCTGTCAATTTTTCTGCTGTCTGTAGCTCCATTAGAGGGCATTCACTCTAACTTTTATGGAAAATAAATTCACACATTTTGGGTTGACATTAAACATGAATAGTGGGGAATTTCCCCATTGTGGCACAGATGGCAAACCACCCCCCCCCCCCCAAAAAAAAAAAAAACAGACAGGTGTTCTAACCCTCCTCTTTCCGATCCAAAATGAAAAAAAGTTTTGCCTTTAGTTACATTTTAAAGTCATTTTTGCTGTGATATTTGGTAATGTCATTGCTATATCTTTGGACAGGTCTTGAAAAGTGTCACTCCTGTATCCATCTGCCTTCAAATTGATGACACCCCCCTCTCCTAACAGCTCAAGTTCCACACCTTTGTAAGAGTACTTATCTATTCCTAATCAGATTCTGTCCTAGGAAAATTTTTGCCAAACATCTTTATAAAGATATTTGTAAAAAAAGTCAATTTTCCCACTACATAGGACATACTGTATGCTCTAAAAAAGGAACTAGACCACTGTGATATGCATGTGCATTGTATTATGTTTTGAGTGACTGGGAGGTTTTTTTTTTGCAGCAAATGATGTCTCTGCTTGTAAATACGCAAACAAAAGTCTCTGAAAATCTGGCAAAATGACGAGAAAATAAATAGATTTTACTACTTGTAATGGAGTTGAGTTACTAAAGGCAAAGAGACTGTGCACTTTGCTAGTCCAGTTGCTCCAGAGCTTGGTAAATGAGGGGGAGCTCTGACGACTTCCTTCATACAATCATGTGCAAGCAAAAAAGTAGTTTTTAAGAAAATTGTCCTTACATGTGATAGGATACTTTGTAAACTGATGCTTTACCTCATTTACCAAGCTCTGGAGCAACTGGACTTGCAAAGTGCATAGTCTATTTGTGTGTGTTTTTATCCAAATTTAGGTTTCTATGCATTACTATTGAGAGACTACTGATCCACAAAGGTAGAGACTACTCCAAATTGGCTAATATATTTATACATTCCTTCAATGTTGCATGCCTGGACCACTACTTATTTAACACATGCATTTATTTATTTTCATTAGTGAATTAACTTTAAAGCCATTTTATGAGGAATTTACGGAGCGTTTTTGAGGTATTTACCACATAAAAAGGATAAATAATTGACATTTCAGTATTGTATGCGACATTTGGAAAAAATGGGTAAGATCACCTAAATACTATATGCAATCTGCTTTAGTGAATGGAGACCTTTATCACTTACTCTCCTCATTTGCTGCGGGAACCAGGGATAGGGCCAAGCCGCATCTGTGTGTGAATAGACACACAGAGCAGCGGCCCGGGATCAAGTTGCTTGGGTGCCTCCATAGCAAGCTGCTGGCTGAGGGGACACTTGGCAGGAGGGAGGGGCCAGCAGTGCTGGCGGGTGATCCGAGAAGAGGAGGATCGGGCTGCTCTGTGCAAAACCACTGCACAGAGCAGGTAAGCAAAACATGTTTGTTATTTTAAAAAAATCACAATCACTTTACAGCTGAACTCCAGGAATTCAGACACTTTGCAAAATCTGGTGGCTTACTACATATTAAGGCCAACGAGGAGCATGTCACCTTGTGGAGTTCTTTTTTATTTAAATTTGACAGCTTTACTGAGTGTCAGGAGTACAGCTATCACTCCCGGCACTTTGACAGGAGACGCATCATCTTTTTACACAGTAGTTCTGCTCACCCATCTCCTCTGCTCAACATTCACAAAGCCTTTGTATTTTGTGAATGGGTTCACATAATGAAAAAGTGCTCTGTGATTGGGCATTAGGAGGGGAGGGGATGGGAACATCAGCTGCATGCAAATCCACACCTACAGAAGCTGAGATCAGAAGGTCTAGTGTCGGTGTTCCAAAGTATAGTAATAGCTGTACTCCCAGCAAAAAGTAAAAATTTTAACTGTACAATAAAGAAACAAGTCCATGAGGTGGCATGCACATTTTTCAAAGTGGTTGAATTCCTGGAGTTCAGTTTTTACAGAATTTCTGACGGGTTCCACCACCATTCTGATAAAAAGAGTGACAAAGCTAGAACAAGACATTAGTCCCTTGGAAAACACTCACCCCTCTCCCCTATCTGGCTCAAACCCCCTTATTTGTATGGGACAGATCAATTATAGTCAACAAACCTTTACACTGACCTGGCCCTCTCAAACCTCTATTTGGCTATGCTGCTTCCGTCCCTGGAGTTAGGGTCAATGAAGTATCCGAATTTTCCAGAGACTCCTGGCTACAGCTCCATGAAATTGTGCCCACCGAGCAGCAATACGTGCACTACTGTTACCTTACATTTAACAAGCTTGTCCATCTCAACAACTATATAGCTTCATTCATAAAATCAAAAGACACTTGCCACAATCTGTTAAAAACTTAACTCCATTTAAATCTCTTCTCAGCCACATCATCTCCCACTGGATACAGTATCATAGCTGTACCGCATGGTGAGAAAGGACACCTCCTCGAGTCGGCCTCCTTTTATACCTAAATGGGAATATTACTCAATCTTTAAAAGACCACTGGAAGAAATGTTTCATTCTCACTCATAAAACATTCACATCTTCCTGTTTTCAGGAAACGAACTACAAAGTCATCTCCCTCTGGTATCTAACTCCCTGGGTGAACCAGGGTGGATAAAAAATCAATGATTTCTTTAAAAAAATCAAAAACAAAAATCTGATTTTTTTTTATTTAAATCGGATTTTTTTGAATAAAATACTTTTTGAGGAAAACATATTACCATCCAAAGGTTATTCCATCATGAAATAAAGATTAGTTTTTAATTATGTAGAATAAGGCTGTATATGTTTAAATTTTTTGGTAATTAAAAATTCCAAATTTCACAATGTCATGCTCTTCCAGAGGTTTTTGTAAGATTATTGGGCAGTTTCTCTGCCTACAAGATATTATCACAGATGCTTGGTTTACTTTTGCAGTTCTCAAAACTGAATTTGACTCAGCGGAGATCACATGCCTCTTCTTCACAGCAAAAATGTTATAACATGAACAGAGTTAAGAAAAAGACATTAATCCTAACTTCTAAAAACCTATGAATACAGAATCAACCCCTTCAGTGCTAAGTTTCAAGAATAGAAACAATATTTTTTCTGATTGTTTGGAGTGGAATAGATCTGCACAAGAAGAAAGTGAAACTAAGTGTGAGGAGGAAGGGGCTGACAGTCTAAGTTTCTTAAAATATATATATTTTGTTTTGCCGAATTAGTTAACAAACATGGATGTTTGTTTAAGCAAATAACATATGCTGGAATGTTATTGTTTCAGATGAATAAATCTATTTAAATTGTTATTATTAAGGGAATGATTATTTTTCTCCTTCCTAAGTACAACAGAAAAGTTGTCCAAATATGAATGATTAACCTATTAAACTGGGGATAAAAAAACTAATATGAAAAGTTGTTATTCTAAAAATCTTCATCTACTTGCATATTAAAGTTATACCAGCAATAATTAGTCTATGTAGAAAACTAGGATTTAAATCAAGCCTTACTGACTAGTGATTTAAATCAGTTTGATTTAAATCAAATCCACCCTGCTTTGAACTAAGCTGTATTTACCCATTAATCTAGAGCTCTTGCTGGAGATGCTCAGAGAAGTGCTTTAGCTTAATTGCATATTTGATGGGGCTGTTACCTACTCACTCCATTCTGGAAGGCAGTTTTACCACATACAATAACGTGCATATTTTGCCATTTCTTTTATTGGCTCTGCTGCAAAGGATTCCTGGATGCCTAACCAAAATGAAGAAAGGCACCCTGAGACACTACCTCTTAGGAACTTGTGTGACCATTTCTCACCATTGGAAATCAATCTCTCCTCCATATATTGTAGAATGGATCTAAGTATTCAAAGAAATCATGAATATGGAAACCCTGTTGGCAGTCGACAGCAACAACCTAGAGAAGACCCAAACCTCATGGACCTGATGGCTGGCTCAGTCACAGATTCTTTCAGTTATACTTATTCCTTCTCTGTAGTATCTGAAATACACCCTCTGTCCATTCCTTTTCTCCTGTAGGACACTAACGACCCTAGCCTCCCCATTAATGCTTGATCTAGTATAATACCCTCAAAAGCACTACTTAGGTATATATCTTCCCATGTCTGTCATAACCTGTTAATTTATGATTAATGCCTTGTTTGATCTTTCTTTCCTACTCCCCCACCCACTCTTTTCTGACTTCCTTAATCCTTCTCTTCCTTTCCTGATATCTTCTTACCATTTAATGTATACTACAATGTTCTATACTGAATCTGTAAAACTGAATAAAGACATATTTAAACTTAAAATGTCGATTTTTTTCCTGAACACACATTAACTGGTGTTTTAATTAGATTTGTCAGAAAGCTTCTAGAGAATTGTTGATAAAATAGTCAAAAGGGCAATAATTTAATGCAGACGTGTAGGAAACTGCTAAATTCACAGTTACAATACACAAGTGTGAACTATTCACACTGCCAAAAAATGTGTAATTCTGTTCAGCTATGTTTCAGATCTAAAACACCCTAGATTATGACTCACTTCTCTCTTAAAGAAATATAGAGCTAGGATTAACTTGGCCTGTGAATTTATTATGAAGAGCAGAAACACAATGGTGAGGTCTAAATTGAGATATTTTATATTTTCTTTCTACTTTAAAAACAGAATTCAGAAAAAGCTCCAAAATCTCACCATCGTTACCATCTGTGTCTGTTATATCTTGCATCTCCTCATCTTCATCTTCTTCTTCATCTTCTTCATTTCCTGCAAGTTCTTTTTCTATTAACTGCCTGCCCAGCTTTATATTCATGCCTTCATTGTAGTGGTGTTTTCTTTTCATTTCAAACTCCTTTTTCTTTTCTGAGTTTAACAATAGAAGATTCTGAATAAGTTTATGCATCAGTAAAAATAAACTATAAGCTGAGGCTTCAAAGTAAATCTCTTACTCTAGGAGAGGGCAGTAGAAATGATAAAGGGGCAGAATGAATTTACAGTGGGGAAAATAATTATATGATCCCCTGCAGATTTTGTAAGTTTGCCCACTTACAAAGAAATTAAAGGTCTATCATTTTTATCATAGGTGTATTTTAAATGATAGAGACAGAATATCAACCAAAAATCCAGAAAAAAAACACAATACAAATGTTATAAATTGAGTGCAGTTCAGAGAGTAAAATAGGTATTTGATCTCCAAGCAAAACATGGCTTAGTACTTGGTGGGGAAACCCTTGTTAGCAAGCAGAGAGGTAAGACATTTCTATTAGTTGGTTACCAGGTTTGTACACATCTTAAGAGGGATTTTGGTCCAATCTTCTTTACAGTTCTCTAAATCCTTAAGTTTTCTTGGCTGTCGCTTGGCAACTTGAAGTTTCAGCTCCCTCCATATACTTTCTATAGGATTAAGCTCAGGAGACTGCCTAGGCCACTTCATGACCTTAATGTGCTTCTTCTTGAGCCACTCCTTTGTTGCCATGGCAGTATGTTTTGGGTCATTGTCATGCTGGAAGATCCATCCACGACCCATCTTCAGTGTTCTGGCTGAGGAAAGAAGGTTCTCATCCAAGAGTTTACAATACATGGCCCTGTCCATTGGCCCCTCAATGCGGCAAAGTCAGCCTGTACCTTTAGCAGAGAAACAGCCCCAAAGCATAAGGTTTCCACCTCTGTGGGGATGGTGTTCTTAGGGTCATAGTCAGCATTTTTTTTCTTCCAAACGCGGCGAGTCAAGTAAATGCCAAAAAGCTCAATTTTGGTCTGGTCTGACAACAGCATTTTCTCCCAATCCTTCTCTGAATCATTTACTGTAGAGGTTTATTGGCAAACTTCAGATGGCCTGTACATGCCTTTTTGAGGAGAAGGACCTTGTGGGTTTTGCAGGATTTCAATCCATGGCAGAGTATTGTGTTACCAATGGTTTGTTTGGTGAATGTGGTCCAAACTGCCTTGAAATCATTCATAAGCTCCTCCCATGTAGTTCTGGGCTGATCCCTCACTTTTCTCATGATCATCCTTACCCCATGAGGCGAAATCTTGCATGGGGCTCCAGACCGAGGGCGATTGATGGTTATTTTGTATTTCCTCCATTTGCGAATAATAGCTCCAACAGTTGTGTCCTTCTCACCATGCTTCTTATTGATGGTCTTGTAGTCCATTTCAGCCTTGTGCAGGTCTGCAATCTCGCCCCTGCCATCTTTTGACAGCTTTTTGGACTTGCCCATGTGGTGAGGTTTGAAGAAAGATTCTGTGGACAGGTGTCTTTTATACACATAATGAGCTGTAGTTAGGAGCACCTTCTTAAAATTGACAGGACTAATCTGTGTACCACATGAGCACATAGCAAGTCTGTGGGAGCCAAAATTGTTGGTTGGTAGGGGATCAAATACTTATTTTACTCACTGAACTCAACTCAATTTATAACATTTGTATCATGTGTTTTTTTGGAGTTTTGGTTGATATTCTGTCTCTATCATTTAAAATGCACCCTATGATAAAAATTATAGATCCTTCATTTCTTTGTAAGTGGGCAAATTACAAAATCTGCAGTGGATCAAATAATTATTTTCCCCACTGTAAGAAAACCTTTCATGGAATAAATTCATAGTTTCAATTTTCAGAATGAGATCAGAAATGTCAGCTTATGTATTTATCTCATGACAGGTCACTCTGAATGTAAACCTGTGGTATACGAAAAAAGAAAGCTGAAATAAGGAGAGGAGGACATGCACCATATACCACCTTTATTAATTTGCGCAATTTTGGGACCCCAAGGTACATCATTTACCCAATGCAAGCCCTCAATCTAAAATTCAGGAGGCACAACCCCACCCCACACCACCACATCTCTTCATGTGCTGTGTTTGCTAGTCAGATTTCCAGTATTGCGCATTGCTGGTGGATTATACCAAAGCTTCAACCTTGGAGCTGAAAATGATATTGATATACAGACCACCACACTAGCCGGGGGGATAGGCCAGTAGAAAGAAATTATTATAACATGCAATAGGAAAATGCAGATCAGACTTTTGAAAGTAAACTCAGTATGAAGTCTGTTTAAAAAAAAAAAAAAAAAAAAAAAAAAAAAAAAGTACCTCTTTCCTCTGGTGTCAGCTCTTCCTCCTCTTCTTCACTGCTCTCCTCTTCAGCCAGGAATTTTGGATCCATTCCTTCTGCGGCAGCTAGCCTAAAGACACCCGAGGCTTTAAAAAACTAAATATGACCACGCTTTCTATATTTAACATCACATAGTGCCAACAGACATGTTCAAAGCCTTTAAGCTGAACTCTAGAACTAGAAAAAAGAGCTAACTAAATACCAATGTATTGCTTCACCTTGACAAATGATTTGTAATTACTGGGTTTTGTAAAACCAGATTACAAACTTTTCCCTTTTAACATATCATAAATGGGCCTGCTGGAAAGCATACTAGGGAGTGAGCTTTGTATACTGGGGTGCCGATCTCACTAGGGACAGACACCAAGTTGTAAGGTGTGTATTGGGGTAAATAAAGTGTACTGGATTGCAGATCTCAGTGGTCACATGAATACTGCGAACTGAGCCATGTGTGCGGAGAACATGTATACTAGTGAGGGAGCTGTGTGTATGGGGGTTGATCTCACTGCATACATGACCATTAGAGAGTGAGCTGTTTGTTTTGGACGGCATCTCTCATTGAGAGGAATGCTAGGTAGTGAGCAGTTTGTACTGAAGCATAGGCTTCACTATATGGATCCTGAACAGTAAGTTGCACATGCTGCAGTACAGATATGATTGGGAAGCAGGCATGTATGTGTTTAGTACCAGTTCAATATGTGTTTGGGGCTCAAGCAGTGCATAGTAGGGGTGCTATTGAACTAGTGAAGCACTGTTCAGCTAAATTCATTACTGGAGGAAAAATATCAGAAGTTGTAATCTCCTGAATCACTTTAAATATTAGTTAGGAATAGAAAAGGATAACCTCCAGTGGACTATTTAATTTCTACTACTTACTATTTTGACCTGAAAAGGTTTATTTTTCTGTAACTTTGTGAACTTAAGTCATGGTAATTTTTTTTACTGGGCATGAGAGATAACAGAAGACATACTCTAGCTGAGAATTATTAAGGTAATTTATTAAGGACACCACGCACTTGGAGTTAAGTCAGAAGGAAGTCAGAATCAAAACATACAAAAAAAAAAAAAAAAAAAAAAAAACAAGCCAGTTTTAAAAGAAATATCCTTTACTGATCAAGGGTTACTACCTTGATGAAAATTCACATTAGAGTTTTAACCCCAACCATTAATTCTTACTTCTCTGCCAAGACATCTGCTGTCAGCGCTTCATTTGACTCCGAATCACTCATGGCTCCTTCATCATCATCATCGCCAACCATTCTGTGAGGAAAAGTTATACTGCTGTCACTTCAGAATTAGATGCTGTGAAAAAGCATCCTATTTAGTAAGCAAATCTACCCAAGCCTTAAAATCAGGGTTAAACTTTTAAACCAAACTTTCTAAACAAAGGGACAAGTTTTCTGTCCTTCAGACTTAAGGGGGGCCGGAGTGCAGCCGGCAGAAGTAGAGAAAACCCTAACCCCAGTGGGAGTAAACCACACCCCTTTGATATTAAGGGGAGGAATAGTGCCCCATCGTTGGTGCCAATGGCAGGAATAGTGCCTCATCGTTTGCGCCAATGGCAGGAGTAGTGCCCCATTGTTGGTGTCAGAGAACAATACCCCATTGTTGGTGTCAGTGGAAGCAACAGTGCCTCATTGTTGGTGATGTAGGAGGATAACGCCCCAAGGGCCAGATAAAACAAGCAGAGGCTCACATCAGGCCCCTGGGCCACAGTTTGGAGACCTCTGCTTTAAATGATAAGTTCACCTTTGTCAACATGTTATATCCGTATTCAGGGTGTAACATGTAACATGTTACTAAGTCAGCAGCTCTGCACCCCCCAATCACTCAAAAGGCAGGGGATCCTCTCCCTACATACACTGTCACAATTTGCACAGTGTGCCTGTGCAGGGCTCCACTCACACAGCCGCACCATTTATTCACACAGATCTGAATGAATGAGCTACAAAAGTCCCATCTGCCACTGCTACAGACAGCTTGTAGCTCTCAAAGAACTGCAAGGAGGCTGGTGAGTGCTCTCGTAGTTCATGGATTCTTCCTGCAGTTAAGTAACTGTCTGAACATACTGTACAATTAAGACAAATTTAATTTTGACTTGCATGTAAATTCTTTATGATTGAGTGTACAGTACAGATCACCCTCCTCTATACCTGTGTTACTGCATTGCTTGCAACAAAACTGAGCACTCAGTGTGTAGCAGATTTATAGTGCGGAAGCTTTGCAAGTGTGCAGTCACCTGAATGCACTAGTCTCTCACCCAGGGTCTATGAATATCAAGCCTGTGTCCTATACTGTATTCCAATTTACAAAAGACTAAGTACACCTTTCTGAACATGTTACACACGTATATAGGGTGTAACATGTTCAGCATGCAACCCCTCTCCCCTGAATTCCCCCTTTATGACTCTGCCCACACAGTCACATCCATCATTCACAGTTTTCTGTGAATGAATAGACTACAAGTACCATCAGCCATTGTGGCTAATGGCTTGTAGCTCTTAATGAGCTACGAGGGCGTTCTCACAGTTCAATGATCTTCCTGCTTTTAAATAGCTGCCTGCCCGTTCGAGGTATGGGCAAACAGCTATACTAAGAGTCTGCAGGAGCCGAACATTGCATCTACGATCTGTTCATTGCGGGTGCAATGATTTCCAGGCTGCAGTGTAAAAAAAATGACTGCACATTTTTGTTCTTTACCTGCAAAATAATGTGCATTTATTATTATTATTTTTTTTTTTATACAAAAGATTAACTTATCCTTTAAAGGACAACTCCATCCTTTGCACCATGTTACACACACATTTAGGTATCATAGCACAAATGGTCCTCCCCCCATCAAAACTGCCCCCCACCACAGTAGAGCAAAGAACTTGCAGTCCATTGACACTCTCTCTAGTTCTCCTACTGAAAGTCCATACCTTGGTACGGACATGGAGCTGGAGGAAGAGTCTGGCAAGACAGGCATTGCAAATGCGATGGTTTGCTTTAGAGTTCCAAAGCAAGTGAAGCACCAAGCACATTTGTAAAGCATACTACTGGGCTATATATAGGTGCCTTTTATGGCCATACTTCTGCTTTATAGATCAGTCAAGGTATACTTTGTTATAAGCAACATTACATTTTAGCTTCTGTCTTTTGAAAAGAACCAACCAGTAATCAAAAACCCTTGCTGTTGGCTATTTAACTCTTTCCCTGCCAGGTTGGTATGTCATTCTGCCTGTCAGATGGACGTAATCTGGCAGCTACGCAAGTGCCCAATTGCTCCTAGACCTCTCTGGTAACAGGCACCCTCCCCCACCATGTATCCTGGTCTGTGTGCGCCCATCAATGCACCTGGGCCAGCATGGTGGGTGCCACCGGGTAGAGGGGAGGGAGCTGAGTGGACATGCGTCCACTTTCCTTCCCTTCCTCGTGCTGACCTGCAAGCAACATGTTTTAAATTTGTAAAAAATGAAAGTTACACCCAAGCACATAAAATCCCCCCCCAAAAAATTTTTTTTTGAGGTCTCCCCCACCCCCACATGAGCATAAATGCACGCTTTAGGGATGCCTATGCACAAAAAAGTTGATTGCAATACTCCACGCACATAACAATTCTAGTTCCAGAGCTCCTGCGTAACACTAAACTGATGACCTATAGAAGACTTTTGAAGTGCTGCCTATGGATAAGATACGGTACTAAAATTGTCACCATTTCACGGGCGCATGCAAATTTAAGGGTGTACATTGACTGTATCTAATTAATCGGTGCAACCTCATCTTTTATATTTTACAAAAAAAATGGTTCATTTATTCCATGCCCTAAAATTAACTTTAGTGTATTTTTTACTCATATTTTGCATTTCCTAGACCTTAAATAAAGTAATATTAAAAAATTGTAACTACCACTATTTTATTCTCTAGGGTGTCTGCTTTCAGAAAATATATAAATGTTTTGTGGATTTTATGAAATCTTCAGGACTAAAATTATTTTTTTTTTAAATATGTGTGCAAAAAATGCAAAAACTGATCTGGCAGCGGAAAGCTTAAAGGGTAATTCATATATTTTGCATCCAAATATTAAAATGTTACCCATCGACACCCTACACATTCCTCTGGTCCACCCTAAAAACTTACTGGTTCCTGACAAGTTCTATATCACCCACACCTACCCATTTACAGATCTGTACACTTCTCACTCGTGTACCAGAATAAGACCAGCAGTGGCATGTGGATCTTTGTATGAACAGAGTCATGTGACTGCACTTACCAAGTAATTATGTGAACAGGGCCTAAAAATTAAAGGTCACTCGAAAAAAAAAACAGCCATGGAGTTAGCAATATTCAGGACAGGTCAACAATGGCAGTCTACATACTACAAATTTAGAATCTGCAAATTATATTCACAGGGGTTCTATATTACTCTTCTAGAGTCATCTGAGTTGCTGCCATACATATTTACCAATGTTTGACCATGATCCTTACCTGTGGTAGGGTGTGCTAGGCTCATCGATTTTCATTAATCCATAGTCTTTGTCAGAAGGGTGATATGTTGCCAGAATATTCATTTCATCCCACTTCTGCGATTTCTTACTAGAATGGAACACAAGTAAAACTCCAAGTCAAGATATCTCCAAAATAAAAACAATTCAGCCTCACTCTGAATCATAATATATTCAGTAACTACCTAGTCATAGCCAACAGCTGCCAGATGGCTCCCAATAACCAGTGTACCTGCCACATGGAAAGGTATCCTCCATGTTATTTTATGCTACTATACCTGATCATTAGCTCTGGAAGCTGAATGGGTAAGTAAAGCTACACAAGCACGTAAACATTAGGGCAAAAGACAAAATTAAATGAATAGGCATAGGACAGAAAAAATGTCTGTCTAAGGCTACGTTCACACTAACGTTGTGTGCAGGCAGCAGAGAGGCATTTGGGAAGCGTTTTTACCGCTTCCCAAATGCCTCGGACAATTCTGCACATTGCAGCACATGGTTCTGTTCTAACGGGAGCGTTAGAGTTGCATCGCGGCAAAACGGACTCCTCTGGTCAAGTCAGGAGGCGTTGAAGCCTCATATTCTAGTCTATGGTGCCGCTCCGCAAAAGCCCGGCCGGCGTTTGCGGTGCGGTTGCGGAGTGGTAACACCATTCAAACTTCATTATAGGCGTTTGTAGGGCGTTTTTAACACCCGGCAAACGCCTAGCAACCGCCGCTGAACCGCGCATGCGGCGTTTGCGGAGCATTAAAAAAACGCATCGCAAACACCGGACCAACACTTGCCAAACGCTATAGGGGCATTTGGCAAGAGTTGCTAAAACAGTCAAGTGTGAACGAGCCCTAAAAGAATCAACAATAATTGGACTACTGCAAACATCTGAAAATTCAGTCTCAAATGATTACAATTATACCGGCATTCCTATAAAAAAAATGTATATTACTTCCCTTTTTTACTTGAAACTTTTGGAGCTAGATGTGAGGGCCTCTCTAAAGTATGACAATTGCCATCAACGACCTGAATTTAGTCACATAATACAAGCTGTCTGCATGCTGGAACGTTAACAATAACAGCATTGAAACAGCATTGGTTACATTCCTATTAAGGACATGACTCAAGTATGCCATATTGTTCGGCAGGAGACAACATGTTGAGCAGCACATTAACCACTGGTTGAATGTTAAAGTGATAAACTATCGTCTTTTTTTTTTTTTTTTTTTTTTCTTAACATGTTAAACTTGCCTGTTCTGTGCAATTGTTTTGCACAGAGCAGCCCCGATCCTCCTCTTTTCGGGTCCCCCGCCGGCGCTCCTGGCACCTTCCCCTGGACCAGTCCCCTCAATAGCACGCCACTTGCAAAGGGGGCACACGTGAGTGCTCGCTTCTGAGCCCCACTCTGTGCATCCTGAAGACACATACTATAGCGCTGAGGTTCAGTCGCACCCCCTGCTCTCTCCTTCCTGGCTGTGATTGACAGCACTGGGAGCCAAAGGCTCGCTGCCGTGCCTCAATTATCACTGGAGGTAGTCAAGTTGGTTCAATCTAACTTTTAGAAAATTATTTTCCTGGATTTCAGCTTTGAAAACTGAGATGTATGTAAATAAAATGCCAAACTCCAATCTGATGTGTTATCAACAGACGCTACTGAAAATTTGACAAAAGCAATAAGCCATACACTCTGTGCGTATTATAATTCATTACACAGCACGGCTGAAAAGACCATAAGACCTAAACGTGGCTCCTCTTTGGATCCGGTGCTGTGCCTGAGAGCAGCATCGCCGCTCTCTCTCCCTTTACAAGCACAAAGACAGCAGAGGAAGCCATTAGTTCCTGCTGCTGTCAATCAAATCCTGTGAAGAGGAACCAGGGCTGAGCTGCACTGTATGTGTCTATGGATACACAGAGCCTGGTTAGGAATCAAGCCTGCACGTCTTCCCCCATAGCAAGCGCTTACTATAGGGGGCAGACACGGAAGAGGAGGAGCCAAGAGCACCAGAGGGGTACCCCAGAAGAGGAGGTTCAGAGACGCTCTATGCAATACCACTGCACAGAGCAGGCGAGAATAACAGGTTTGCTATTTTTTGTTAAAATATAAAAAAAAAAAAAACATTTTAAAACGCCTTTAATAATGCTTTAAGAAACTAGACAACAACAAAGGTACCCTTTTTCAAGAGCTAAAAATCTATTTCTTTTCCCTATAAATCAACACTGACTCATCGTAGGGGGTATGCATTCTTGAAAAAAAAAAAAAACTACCATGTAATGTTTTCTGCAAAAAAAGAAACCAAAACGGTCTGCTAGCCCAACTCAGTTTACAATATGGCAGAGGGCATGTGTGCCGGGATGACTACTTTCCTGTGTATGCTGGCCAATGAGTATGCCACAGCCCAGCACTCAGGAGCAGCCAGGTAAAATATGACGAGTGGGACGTCAGACCATAGAAGGGAGGTAAGTGTCGCCCAGTTTAGCTCCACTTTAAAGTGTGCCTAAAGCCACAGTACAGAATTGTTAAAGTGGAACTAAACCAATCGATTTAATGGTTTCCCTGAAATGCTGTTCATCCCTTGTGATAGCACTGAAGTTTAATAAAAATAAAAAATAAATAATTAAAAAAGGTATAGTGTAAAAGATGTTAAATAAATAATTAACACAAAAAAGGAAAAAGAAAAAAAAGTGCCCCATCCACCTGTGCTCACGCGAGTGTAGGTCCCGCAAGCATATATTAACGGTGATCACATCACGCGTGAAGTATAGCTGCAAATATCAGCGTGAGAGCAATAATTCTACAGACAGACCACCTGTGTAACATTAAACTGATAATCTGTAAAGACTTTTACAGCATAGCCTATAGAGATAGCTGCCTGGAGTTTTGTTTACATATGACTGTGACAACACAATCATGCTGGCAACGGTGAAAGGGTTAAATGTATGCATTCTCCCTGGAGTTCTGCTTTAGCCGCTTCCCAACCACACTATAGCAGAAGTACTGCTACAGGGCGACAGGGATTCCCAAAATCACGTACATAGATGTGATTTTGTATTTCTGGGTAAAGGGTGCACGCGTGTGCTCCCTACCCGCGCTGATATTGGCTCCTCAGCATGTAAACCTCCGGGTCCTGGTGATCGTCGGCGCAGCTGACAGGGGAGAGGTCTGTATGTCAACAATACGGATCTCTCCCCTGTCGGCACAAACAGGCTGCTTTGTATTGCTCTGCACTGCAGAGCAATGCAAAGCAGTTTGTCTACATTATTATTATACAGGACTTAAATAGCACCAACAGTTTGCGCAGCACTTTACAATATAACGGGAGACAATACAATTACAATACATTTCAGTACAGAAGGAATAGGAGGGCCCTGCTTGTGGAGCTTACAATCTAAAGGAAGGTCTACGTAGTAAAACACACAGCAAAACACAAGACAGCACACAGTTAACCCTTTGATCGCCCCAGATGTTAACCCCTTCCTGCCCAGTGCCATTAGTACAGTGATAGTGCTTTTTATTAGCAGTGATCACTGGGGATGTCAGTTCCCACCCAGTGTCAGAATGCCCGCCGCAGTCCGGCTATAAGTCGTTGATCGCTGCCATTGCAAATAAAAAAAATACCGCCATTTGTAGATGATGCTTTAACTTTCACGTAAACCAATTAATATGGGCAAAACAGTGGCGTAATGGTTACTTGGGTTGTTGGTTCGAATCCCAACAATGGCACCACCTGCCTGGAGTTTGCATGTTCTCCCGGGTTTACTCCGTTTCCTGTGCGGGTTTACTCCGGTTTCCTCCCACACTCCAAAGACATGCTGGTAGGTTAATTGGTTCCTGTCTAAATAAGCCCTACTATGTACACCCCTTGAGGGTTAGGGACTGATGTGAATGTGCAATACAAATGTAAAGCACTGCATAAATTGACGGCGCTATATAAGTACCTGAAATAAATACATTTACACGTATTGTTATTTTTTTTTTTTTTTTTTTTTTTTTAGCAAAGACAAGTAGCAGAACACATTTTGGCCTAAATTTATGAAGAATTTTTATTTTAAAAAAAGGTTTTACTAGATATGTTTTTATAGCAAAAAAAGTAAAAAAAAATATTGTTTCTTTTTTCAAAATTGTCTGTCTTTTTTTTGTTTATATAGCACAAAAAATAAAAACCGCACAGGTGATCAAATACCACCAGAAGAAAGCTCTATTTGTGGGGAAAAAAGGACATAAATTTCAGGAGATAAGACATGGACATTTGAACTATAGGAAGAGCACAGAAGTCAGGACCAAACAGCGTTTTTACACAATGCAGAGGATTAACCCCTTAGGTTCCACAGTGAGTATAACAAGCATGCTTTACTGCATATACAGACTGATTTTACTGTTGTGGGTTTAATAACACTTTAGGAAGATTCACCTTCTCTGTCTCCTGTTCACCATTACCATTGAAAGTAAAAGAAAATCCCAAATTTTGGATTGTCCCCAGAAAAGTAAGAGTGGAAATCTTCCAGTGGGGGTACTAGTTCTGTGACCTGGGGGCCCTAGGGATTCCCTCAATTTGCAGGGATTTCCTCTCACTTCCTGTTTTGCTATGGGACAGGAAGTGAAATCTCCCTAATAAGACACAGATGGCAAAAAAAAAAAAAAAAATCTGACAGGGGTTATAACACTGCTTTACTCTATCCAAAATGGAAAAAAAAAGGTTTTGCTGTAGTTCTACTTTAATGACAAGGCAATTTTTTTCTTTGTGTTGTGCTGTGTGCTTTACACACGCTGCATTAAAACATGTTGCAATTTAGTCAACACAGCATTGTAGTGTAATAGGGTATAAAAGAAACAATTTTCTGATGCTCCTATGTGTTGATCTGAATTTCACAACTTCACTGAAGCGCAGACCAATGCACTAGTGTGAATTATCCCTTATAATGGTACGCCAATGGATGTACATGGCAGCAGAGCATCCCACTACCATGTGTTGTGGCGGACTGCATTACAAAAATGACATTAGGCAGCCCATCCAAATGAACGGGCCGCCCTAACAAGAAGCACAATAACATGCACCGCAACACTGTCAACCAACAAAAAGGTAATAGTAAGCTTCACTACAAATGTGTCAGGATTCCCTTCAGGTTCATTCAATTCATCCCGTTCTCTATGAACAGATGTGAATGCACAGTGTCTGCGGTCAGATCTGTACACCCGGTCCTGGTAAACTGTGACGTGTCCGTGCTGTGTGTGCCCACAAGTCTATGGGCTGCCTGCATGCAGTTCCCAGGTTGATGCACACGCAGAGCCTCTGCGCAGAGGACAGGACTCATTGATCATCTGAAATCAGCCTCCTTACATTTTTGTACTGGGATCTGACTGAAGAACTCAGCACCACTAACCGCCAGTCACCTGAACAATAAAGTGAGCCATTGGATCACTCTGGTGGGTGTAGAAATCAGGCTTGTGGTAAAGTGAAACTAGTTTCAGAGGGGTGCAAAGCATGGTAGTAGCAGTCCTGGTGGACAGAACAAGTCGTAATGCCTGTCAGGGGGGATTTACAGCAAAGCTGTCACAGGTGCACAAGGGCCATTCTGTAGCAGTGAAGCTCCTGTTAGGTCTGTCATTTCTATGTCAGGACGATGTGTATGTCATCTCTATGTCAGGGTATGAGTAGTGAGGTGTGCGCAGTGGTCTGTCAGTGATCAGTGCCCCCACTCCCACCTCTGATCATCCTCTCTGTCCTGGGCCAGCTCATCCTTGGTCAGCACACGGACGCCGCTCTTCTGGGAGCCCTTGTTCTTCAGGATGCCTTTGATTGGCCTCTGTGTCCGCTCCTCCATACTCATAGTCGGGGCTCCCACCCGCACTCAGCCTTCACCGGCCGCCTTCCCTCCCTGTCACCGCCCGGACGTCATCGGCGGTGAATTTTACGTCACATCCGGCTTGGAAGGAGGACGCCAAAACACAGCAGCGCAACTTCCTACTCTAATGGGTCACCATGGAAACAGTGACGCTGCTGGGGGAGGCGGCGTGCGCTCTGTATTCCTGGATGAACTAATGGCTTAGGTGGCGCCGATGTGTGAGGGAGTTCAAAACAGAAACAAAACGTCCCGTGTTCCGCCTCGTTCACACAATACGTGCATGGAAACTGACACGCAGATTTCACTCACAGAGACATGAGTTTTGCATAGACTGCAACATGGCTAAGTGTGAACCAGGCTTCAGGTTCACAGGCATGCGTTTTCCAGAAATGCACAGCAGTCCATTTAACATGATTTTCTATGGGACATGTTCACACCTCTGCATTTTCAGCCAGTGCGTTTTGTGGAAAGGGTCAGGGGACTTTTTTAAATGCAAAACGTTGCTCTTTTGGTTCAATAGACTTCAGTGGAAACACTGCAGAGATGCATGTAGTGCATTGTTATATGTTTTTGATGTGTTTTATTATTATTATTATTATTATTATTATTATTACACAGGATTTACATAGCGCCAACAGTTTGCTGAGGGCTTTACAATATAACAGGAGACAATACAGTAACAACACAGTTCAATACAAGAGGGATGTGAGGGCCCTGCTCCTTGGAGCTTACAATCTAGGATTGCATTTTAATTTGCCCAGCAACAAGTTGGAAAAAAAAGTAAAGCGCATCAAAAAAAGTAAAAAAAATGCATGTGCAAAACACACAAAAAGCAATGCAGAAACAGATCAAACGCAAACTGCATAGGTGTGAACCAGGCCTTAGGGTGGCTCCACTCCACTGGAGGAGCAATGAAGAGCCCTTTGGAAAGCAGAATTGTCAATCTGGGCAAAGGGTAGTGTTAGAAGCAATAGCAAACAGACCTGGACTCGATGAGCCAATTAAAGCTGCACTCCAGCTTTCACTTTTTAAAGTATATCCATGGTCAAAATCCTATTTATTTCTACATTGTATTTATGTAGCAATCTCTACTGTGCTACTAGAATAGTATAGGCAAATTTATTATGTATGACTCATGGTAACTGTGGTAGTCTGTAACTGGGTCATGTTACTGCAGGCCAGGCTGAATGACTTAACAGGTTGGGACACTATCACCTCCATCTGGCTCTGGAGGACCACAGAACCTTCCAGAAGCCAGTGGGCGAAAGGGGTGGAGACCTAATCTGCAGGTTTTTGGGAGTCTAACCAATCCCAGGTTTGGAAGCCCTGGTAGAAGGGTAAGACCAACCCACAAATATGGGATAGTCAGGCTGGCAGAGAAGTCGGGTGAAAATGGAGTGCTGAGCAGACTCAGTGGCCTGGGAGGGCTAGCCTCCAGGCTGGCTCAGGAGGATCCATTCATAATCATGGCATGAACTGGATCAAGGCCTGGGAGCAGTGGGAGGCAAGGACAGTGAGTGCATCAACATACCCAGGGATTCACAAGGGGAGAGACTGCCACGTGTAGCAACCTTCCAAAGGACAGCACTGTGCTTATTCCTTTATCCTTGTCCTGGGAGATCATCGGAGCAGCCAGGAGGGCTGGTAGTGTCTGCAGGCTGCGGAGCTGGAGGCAGTTCTACAGGGGAGAGGAGACATCTCTGTGTGTAGTTTGCAACAAGCTGAGCTAACTTTCAGATTGCTGCGAGTCCCTAGCCAGTAAGGGGCAGTTGCTACTGATCCACAAAGACTGATGGCTTTCAAGGAAAAGAACAGTCCAGGATCTGTTTCTGTAACTAGGAAGGAAGTTGTCCCCGAGCATTGATTCAGATAAGCTGGGCATCCCATAATCCCCATTACCCTATCCAAGTTATTTCCCCTAATAAATTAACAAAAATCAAGCTCATGGATGTTCACTGATTTTGGATGCAAGTGTGGCAAATGCGTGTTGCCTCGCTGTGTGTAGCTTAGGGGGACTTTGAAACACAGCAGCCCCCAAAAGTGTATCGCTATATTTGGGGGTTCTTTATCCAGGATATCCCTACAGCAACCTGCATGGTTGTTGCCCCTAGTAACCAACAACCATTGAACCAGAGGACTGATATGCGCTGTCAAGTGATCACAAGTATCAAGCGGGAAAAGGAAATTGTGCTGTACTGCTATGACTGTGCCATGCAAATACTGTTGTCCAATGCTGTCACCCGTAGCAGCCTGTACAAATGTTTTTATGCTGCTCAACAGGTGACATGAGTTAAAGACTGTGCCAATCATCTGTCTGCCTATGTCAGTGAGATCTGCATTGTTGTCCTGTATGCCGCACCTGTAGCAACCATGGAGGGCTGCTGCATTCATATCCTGCTGTTCAACAGGTGGCCTGAACTAAGAATTGTGCTAATTTTCAATTTGCTCGTTCTAAAGAGGACTGTGCTGTTGTTCTGCATTATGTTGCCCATAGCAACCAAAGCGGACCATCACCTTTATGTGGATTACAAATACCCCTCAGCTGCCCAACAGCAACAGGGGTCAAGGATTGCTCTTTGATTCTACACATTGTTGCCCACAGCAACTACAGAGGGCCAGGATCTCTCTGTGGGAAATACCCAGCCATTCAACTGCGGCTAAGGTTCATGCTCATCTTACATCAAGTCCTGCTAAAGTCAGTGTGAACTGTGTGACCTTACTTGCCGATGCCCACAGCAACTGAGATGGCCTATCGCGTTCTAGATTACAAATGCCCAGTTACCCAATCATGGCTGGGGCCAAGTATCATGTTGAGACAAGTTCTGCAAATATCAGTGAACTTTTCTTGTGTTTCTGCCAGGAAACGGTGTTCCTTAAGCCTGCAACCCAGTTAGTACATGTCTGCTCGGCTGTGCAGGAGTTAACACAAGCGCAGGAAAAGTCCTGCAAAACAGTGCTGCTGGTGGCAACAAGTCTGAGTGTGGGGCATGGCCACATCTTAAAGTCTGCCCAGTACACCCAGCGTGGACAGAGAGTGAGAGAGAGGAGCAACATGGCGGGTTACCTGCAGTCCTCCAACCAGACTACCGGATAGTGGATACCAGTGTGCAATTGGAACACTGGGGGGGATTCGCTCTCAAAACAATCAATGGAATGAAGAGATTGTGCTTGCTGTGTCCTGACTGCCAGAGATCCACTGCAATGATTGGAGCCTGGCTAAGTTGTGGGCACTCTTGATGAACCACTGGTGAGGCTGGTGTCCAGTAACCAGCCACCGGTCATCTACTCGGTGGACCTGAAGTCGGAACTGTGCGTAGAGACCAAAGAGGAATCCCGGTTGGCCAGAGGAAGTTGACAGGTGTGTAGTGTGCAGACCTACAGTCAGACAGGTATCTGCCATTACTCTTGTGGAAGATGATAGCTGCAGCCTGCCTAGGCTAGGAACAGCCATGACCAGAAGTGAAAGTTGCCAGTCCAGCTCAAGTTGTCCCACAGGAGAGATCAGCTGCCGAAATTCGCCCTGTCAGCCCCACCTAGAAGGAGCCAGGTCATGATGACCATATGTCCTCAGGTCAGCCAGTGGGTAGTGACAGGGTGGCGAGATCAATTGGGGGTCTCCCAGACTTGAAGCTGAGGTTGGGCCCCTAGAAATAGAGACTGAGTATTCCCCTGAGAATGAGTCAGATGAGGAATCGGACTAGGGGGACGCTCAAGAGACTGCTAGTCTGCAAACGGGACTATCTGAGGAAGGATGCAGGACAGAGGGAAAAGGCCGTTACCCCTGACCAGGCAAGATGGGCAGCTAGAGTAGAGCTCCCATTACCCTATGCAGATGAACAGACGCTAAACTGACCAGACCTTGTCCGTGCCCAACATCAAGGGTCATCAGACTACCTAATCCAGAGATGTACTTGTGATAATGTTTGGGAAACCACCTTGTGTTTGAACAGTTGCACCAGATCATACCACCCACCCTTTTCTTTTTTTCTTCCCAGTATGGCTCATGAAGAAGATGTGGTGGTAAGCCCCAGAACACTTGTCAGGAATGGACTTGCCAATAATGGTGGGACTCACCTGCCTTGTGGGCTGCAGTACCAGGGCTGGCCAGCGGGTGCTCTCAGCAATCATAGACTCAACCCTGCAGTCAGCCAAACACCTGAGGCTGATTGCAGGTGTATTTAAGGGATGGCCAGACCTGCAGTCTGTGCCTTGGTGTGTGTTTTTCCTGGGCCCCTGTATCTTGTTACCTGCATTCCTGTTCCTGTCTGACTGATTTGTTGCCGACCCTCTGCTGACTTCTCCTGACTTCTCCTGTTTGATCCCTGGCTTGTGACCCCGACCATTCTCTGCCTGACCCCCTGTACCTACCTGCCCGTTAGTTGCTGTACCCGGCTCGTGACCTTACTACTCTCTGCCTGCTCCTCCTGTTCCTACCTGCCCAATTGTTATTGACCGGGCCTGCCTGACGACGCTTGCATTGTATGTATTGTTATCTGTGGGTGGTTTGGTTTGGTTCGTTTGCACTGTGTTATGTTTTAGTATTGCACTGCGTTTATGTATTGTTAGTATTAATAAATTATATTGTTTATAACATATCTGAAGCCTGCGTTTCCCTGCGTCAGTTCACATACCTCTGGTCATACCCGGAGCCCTAACATTACGCCAAGGCCAATCCTGACCAGAAGTGGCTGCACAGGGAAGCCATCTTGGCTTGTTGCTGGGAAGGATGGATCTTGATGAGGTTGTGTATTTGTCGCTGCTGGTTTTTGATGACAGAGAATATGCTTATCAGACTCTGAGGGAGTATACCCGGGATCAACTGCTAGAATGTATACGGATCGCTCATGTTCTAGTACAGTGGTGGGCAACCTTTTTTTTCAACTGAGCCAAATCTCGCCAAAACCACGATTGAAATTTATTTTGAGAGCCACATTTTTAAAACTGAAAATACATCTCCCATATAGTAATTCATCCCCCATAGTAATTCATCCCCCATATAGTAATTCATCCCCCATAGAGTAATTCATCCCCCATATAGTAATTCATCCCCCATAGTAATTCATCCCCCATATAGCAATTCATCCCCCATAGCAATTCATCCCCCATATAGTAATTCATCCCCCATAGTAATTCATCCCCCATATAGTAATTCATCCCCCCATATAGTAATTCATCCCCCATAGTAATTCATCCCCCATATTAATTCATCCCCCATAGTAATTCATCCCCCCATAGTAATTCATCCCCCCCATAGTAATTCATCCCCCATATAGTAATTCATCCCCCATATAGTAATTCATCCCCCCATAGTAATTCATCCCCCATAGTAATTCATCCCCCATATAGTAATTCATCCCCCCATATAGTAATTCATCTCCCATATAGTAATTCATCTCCCATATAGTAATTCATCCCCCATATAGTAAGTCCCCCATATAGTAAGTCCCCCCCCATATAGTAAGTCCCCCCCATATAGTAAGTCCCCCCCATATAGTAATTCATCCCCCATATAGTAAGTCCCCCCCCCATATAGTAAGTCTCCCCCATATAGTAATTCATCCCTCATATAGTAAGTCCCCCCTGTGTCAATTCACTTACCTTTGCTCCGCGCGTTCCTCTCGTCGTGCTTCCCGCGCCGTTCTGGTCTTCAGGGCGGACTGTGAGAGGAGAGGAGTTCGTCACGCTGCCCCGCCTACATCCTGGCTGCCCCGCCTACATCCTGACAGCTGCAGAGTCCTGACTTTTGGGGCGGCCGCCCGAGAGGGAGGGAGGGGAGGGGAGGCGAGGGGGCGGCCGCCCGGCACACGCCCGTCCGAGAGGAGGGAGAGGAGGGAGGGGAGGGAGAGGAGGGAGGGGAGCGGGCGCCCGGCACACAGAAGAGCCGCATTTAAGCTTGTAAAGAGCCGCATGTGGCTCGCTAGCCGCGGCTTGCCGACCACTGTTCTAGTAGATCAGGGCACAGAGTTCTCTGAGGTGCAACCTTTGATTCAGGTTTGTGTAGAGTTGGCTTCATCTGGTACCCCTGAAAGCAGGAATGACTTTTTTGCCACCATTTAGTGCAGACCAGGTAGAGTCCCTGGTATGGTTATTAGAGGATGATGTGGATTGCTTCTTGGGGAGCATTATGCTGCATGTTCACCACAGGTATTAAGGGATTGTATAAACGCAGTGCAACCTTTGACCAGACAGGCTTTGTGTAAGTTCAGCTTTGTTCAACCCATACTGCAGACATGGTCAGACTTGTTGCACCCAGCCTCAGTCAGCTTGCAACGTCATTCCTCTGCTCAAGGCACTCTTCCTGCATCCCCGACAGCACCCCCAGTGATGGCCCAGTATACTCTGCTAACTACCACATACCAGTCCCCTGCTCCCACTCGCTGCACCTATCCTTTCTTTGGCCCTGTGGAGAGGTCCTCTGTGGCGGCTGCTCCCTCCTCTGTTCCATCTTCCAGCTCTTCTCTGTCCTCAGCTGCTCCATTCGTTTGCAGACCTGCGTTTACTTGCAGTGCTCCGGTAGTTAAAACCAGAAAAAAGCGAAAGTTCTTTCCAACCAGTACCATCCTGCCAGTATCCAAACCGGTGAGCCTGCCGTCTGAGAACCTGCCTTCCGTGGTTCAGCCTGGTGCCTCGGCACCCGCACTTCAGCCTGATGTCTCTACCCAGCCTGATGTCTGTACCCAGCCTGATGAACTGATCCAGCCTGATGATCCTATCACGCCTGATGACCCAGTGCCCACTGTCGAGCCGAATGACCTGATGCCTGGTGACCCGATGCCCATTGTCGAGCCAGACGATCCAATGTCTGACCCAGTGCCCGCGGTCATGCCTGGTGACTCGGAGCCCACTGTCGTGCCTGGTGACTCGGTGCCCACTGCCTTGCCAGATGACGCGGTGCCCGCTGGCGAGCCAAATGACCTGATGCCTGGTGACCCAGTGCCCGCTGTCATACCTGTTGACCCGATGCCCGCTGTCGAGCCAGACGATCCAATGCCTGATGACCCAGTGCCCGCTGTCATGCCTGGTGACTCGATGCCCGCTGTCGAGCCAGACGATCCAGCGCCAGATGACCCGGTGCCTACTGTCGAGCCAGACGATCCGGTACCTGATGACCCGGTGCCCGCTGTCGTGCCAATTGACTCAGAGCCCACTGTCGTGCCTGGTGACTCGGGTGCCCACTGCCTTGCCAGATGACGCGGTGCCCGCTGTCGAGCCAAATGACCTGATGCCTAGTGACCCGATGCCCGCTGTTGAGCCAGCACGATCCAATGTCTGACCCAGTGCCCGCGGTCATGCCAGTTGACTCGGAACCCACTGTCGTGCCTGGTGACTCGGTGCCCACTGCCTTGCCAGATGATGTGGTGCCCGCTGGCGAGCCAAATGACCTGATGCCTGGTGACCCGATGCCCGCTGTCGTGCCTGATGACCGGGTGCCTGCCGCTCCGCCTGGGGGCCCGGTGCCCGCCGCCCCTCCTGGTGGTCCGGCGCCCACCCGCTCCGCCTGGGGGTCCAGCACCCGCCGCTCCGCCCGGGGGCCCTGTGCCTGCCGCTCCTCCTGGGGGCCCTGTGCCTGCCGCTCCTCCTGGGGGCCCTGTGCCTGCCGCTCTGTCTGGGGGCCCAATGCCTGTCGCTCCGCCTGGGGGCCCGGTGCCTGCTGCTCCTCCTGGGGGCCCTGTGCCGCTGCCCGGAGTCCAGCCCGATGTGCCGCTGCCCCGGAGTCCAGCCCAATGTGCCGCTGCCCGGAGTCCAGCCCGATGTGCCAGTCTTTGATATCCCGCCAGTTACCAGACCCGGGTGGTGGAACATTTTGCCCAGCTAGGACTGTTTGGAGCGTCCTGAGGCCGCTCCTTGAGGGGGGGGGTACTGTCAGGAATGGACTTGCCAATAATGGTGGGACTCACCTGCCTTGTGGGCTGCAGTACCAGAGCTGGCCAGCGGGTGCTCTCAGCAATCAGAGACTCAACCCTGCAGTCAGCCAAACACCTGAGGCTGATTGCAGGTGTATTTAAGGGATGGCCAGACCTGCAGTCTGTGCCTTGGTGTGTGTTTTTCCATGGGCCCCTGTATCTTGTTACCTGCATTCCTGTTCCTGTCTGACTGATTTGTTGCCGACTCTGCCTGATCCGGACCTCTGCTGACTTCTCCTGTTTGATCCCTGGCTTGTGACCCGACCATTCTCTGCCTGACCCCCTGTACCTACCTGCCCATTAGTTGCTGTACCCGGCTCGTGATCTGACTACTCTCTGCCTGCTTCCTCCTGTTCCTACCTGCCTGATTGTTATTGACCCGGCCTGCCTGACTACGCTTGCATTGTATGTATTGTTATCTGTGGGTGGTTTGGTTTGGTTTGGTTCGTTTGCGCTGTGTTATGTTTTAGTATTGCACTGTGTTTATGTATTGTTAGTATTAATAAATTATATTGTTTATAACATATCTGAAGCCTGTGTTTCCCTGCGTCAGTTCACATACCTCTGGTCATACCCAGAGCCCTGACAACACTGCTGAAAGAAACTGTTGCTATGGAGGGGCTCCTCCTTCAGAAACTCTTAAGTATATAAAGTTTCCTGCTTGTAGGATCATAACCCCCTGCTATCAGACTGTACAGATAGTTTAGTCGGTGTCGGTGTCGGTGCGGGCTATTTAAACGGGCCACTGCAGGATCCAAATTGCCGTATGGTCTTATTCCTCTGCCTGTGTTTCCTGATCCTGAGTTGTTTCCTGTTGCTGAACCCAGCCTGCTCCTGACTATCGTGACCTTCTCCTGCCCTGACCCCTGGCTTGTCTCTGGATATTCTTCTGCCTGCTCCTGATCATTCTGACCTCCTGTTGCTGAACCTGGCCTGTGACCTGACTATTCCTCTGTCTGCTGCTCTGGTCTGCTCTGCCTTCTCGGATATCGAACCCGGCTCGCCTGCCTCCGCTACCTGCCGCACAGATCCATTCGCATCCTGCTCTGGTCTGCTCTGCCTCTTCACGTCAGGCTCACTACTAAAGTACGTGACACTAGCGCTCTCCTCTACCGCAGCTGGGCATACCTGGGGCCGCGACCTGGTCTCAGCCTGCTCCATGTCCATTCCCACCATCAGGGGCTCTGGTGAATAAGCAGACTGGGGCTTAGACCCCATGCCCTGGGGAAACCCTAAACTGTGGACCTATAGAGCTACTGCTAGAGTCTTGACAGGCAGGTGTAAAGGAATGGGGGGTTTACAGGATGAGAGGCATGAGGTACAAGGGCCCTAGTTACCAGCTACGTGTGAGTTCCATTGTAAACCAATGTTAGACAGTGATAGTTGGATGGCAATATGTGATCGACAGGTCCCATATTTTGTAGAATATATCATGGTTATTAGTAAGAATACTGGTCAATTGCTTGTTTACAAAACAACTATAAATTCTGGATTCAACCTTTGAGAAATGAGTGAATTGTTTTTTTTTCCAATCCTGGTGATCATTATTTTGGAAACTAAAAGGACAAATTGAGTTAGCTTGAACTGTGTTTTAGTTTTGCCCGGGGGCTTAAATTGTAAGAGTGCCAGCCAATGGTCTCTGAAAATGAAATTCCAAGTAATGTATGTAGAAGTGTGAATACTTTGGTCGAAAGCGATTCAGCATTGGACAGGTCCACCATATATAGAGAACATTGCCTGTGGTCTGGCATCCTCTGAAACAAAGGCCAAAATGTCCAGGGAACATATGAGCGAGTCTGGAATGTACCAGGTACCACCTGGTTAGCACCTTATAGGCTGAGGGTGGTGACATTAATGGTTCACGTAGCAATAGAAGACAACGTATTTTGCCAATCTTTTTCTGATTTTTTTGGCACGTAGGTCCTCTTCTCATTTTGCTATATAGGTATGTGTGGAAAGAGAGAGTAATTGGTTAAATGAAGAGTAGACTATAGAGATGAGTTTCAGTGCCAAGGGAGAATAGTGACAAATATGCTTGAAAACTGTTACAGTAGTAAATACAGTAGGTCTTTATCTTTGAAGAGTGACATAATCCACTGCCTCAGTTGGGTATACAGGAAAAGCACAGAGGAAGAAGCCTTAAATCTATTTTGAAAAAAGGACAGAGCCTTTCTCTATAAGAGAGAGTAAGTGGTGAGTTTATTTGAGGTCCACTAAAAGAAGGCAGCCAAGGATTCTAAGCCTGGTAGAAAATGTTGATTGCCAGTTAAAAGAAGAAGGGGAATATACTGGTAAAGTAATTAGCTAAAATATTTAAGAGAGTTTCAAATGTTAAGAGTGTGTTTCATTAGAGGGCTAAGGGTGAGAGGTCCTAAATTAGGTTTAATTTTAGGTTCCTAGGGGCAATGCAGCCAGCTTCTAAGTCTATCCATAGGGGAGCTTCACAGGCCGCATACAGGGCCACTAGCAGGGTGATTTGAACAGCCAGGAAATATTTTTTAAAGTCGGAGGTATCAAAGCCTTATTGATATCGGTTCATACACATAGTTTGTTTGGAAACCTATGTTTATGATTATGCCAGCTAAGGGATATAATATGGTTTTGGAATGATTTGATGCTGAAGGAGGGGACCAGGACTGGGAGTTGAGAAGAGATAAAATAATTCTGGTAGGATGGTCATTTTAATCAAACTAATTTGTCCTATCCAGGAGATGGGACCAGGAAGAGATTAAGGTTTTGAGGTTACAAATGGTTAGAATATAATTACCAAGTGCAAACCAAAATGGAGTCAGATGGATGCCAAGATATTCCAGGCTTTTGTTGGCCCAGGGAAATTTGAAAGAATAATTGAGAGTTGTGAGAGTAGTAGTTGACGGGGAAGAGAATGCCGAGGGGCTGTTATAGAGGGATTGTAGCCAAGATAAGAAACTGTTTTTGAAGCCCCATTTAAGCAACACAGGGAGATGGTGTTGAAAGTCTTCTGTATATCAAAGGATAAAAGCATATCTTGCAATTTATTTCGATGGAGTAAATGCATTATATGAATTACCCTGCATCGATTATCTGGAGCTTGCCTGTATGGGACAAAGCCCACTTGAGCTTTTTGAATCAGAGAGGTAAGTAAACAAATCAGTCTGGTGTCCAGCACCTTAGCTAAGAGCTTGATATCAATATTAGGCAGGGATATGGGGCATAAATTTGGGGGTCTAACTGGACTTTGCCTGGTTTGAGTAGTGTTGCTATATGGGTTCTGATAGAAATTGGGAGTGTGTCTGGATGAGACTTTAAATGGTTAGATAAATGAATCAGATATGGGAATAAAATATGTGCATAAGTTTTGTAATAGAGTACTATAAAGCCATTGGTTCCCAGGGCCTTTGAAAGCCTCAAGGGTTTCAAAGGGTACCAACATCTGCATCCATTTTGTCCCTCATTTCCCTTGTAAGCGAAGGGAGGGAAAATTGTGGGGGATTCCTATATAAATCAGCGGGCATGGAACTGAAGCTGTCAACTATAGTTTTAGGTTGTTACCATTATTGTGCCATCTTGGTGTCAGAACCTACTAGGGGTGGAGGCTTTCAGATGAGCCTGATTTATTCACTTGTCATTAAGTAAGATATTGAGTTCCGGTCAGATAGAGTTTACTTGTTTGCTGAGAGATGACAGTGACCTTTTAATTCAGATTCCAGGCAAGCCAATTGGGATGACAAAGGTAAAATCTTGGTTTCCAGTTCCTTTTTGAGACAGAAAGCCAAATGACAAATAGAGCCTCGAAACTGTCACTTTATGTGCGTCCTGTAATGAAATAGGAGAGGACACCGAGTCTGTATTGGAGACAAAATAATATTTAAGGTCATTAGCGATGGGGTCCACCATGGCTGTGTGCGAAAGAAGAGTTACTGAAGTGTCACGTGAAAAGTGGTGGGTTGTGATTAAAAGAACTACTATGAATAAGTGCAAGAGAATGGTCAGACAAAGGGACTGATAAAATCTTAGCTTTGGTTAATGAGGGAAGGAATTGTGGATGAACAAAAACGTGGTCTATGCATGAAAAACTGTTGCGGGGAGCAGAGTGAAAAGTAGAGTCTATAGTTCTAGTTTTGTGGTGTTTCCAAGTATCTACCAAACTATGCTCAGAAAGCAAGCTGGCCAGCTTATTTATTTGGGCTTGGAGAACTTCTGTTTTGCAGAGAGGGTCAGTAGCCTTAGATTTATCTACTTTTAAGGTCAAAGACCATGTTAGTGGTCTTCTGTGGGTAACTGCATCTATCT